TTAAAAAAGACCCCCCCCCCCAAAAATGAGGTTTTAAAAGCATTATATTACATATATAGTTCTATTGATGTAAACATATAGAAAAAGTTCTATCAGCGCTGGCCTTATAGAGTAGTGGTTAAAGGAGCCCAGTTCCACATGGCCAACTGCATTACAAATCTCAGCCCTAGCAGCTTAAAAAAACATGTTGGGCTCTGTGTGTACATACCCCAAATCCTGACAAGAAGGAAAAATGGAGAAGAAACTGTGGTGTGACCATGCCCATTGGAAGGTGCTTTCTTCCTCTCTGTCTTTTCTGGCCAGCACACGTGCCTTCTTAAATAATGAAGGGGATGTACTGACTCATATAGCTAGACAGGTATCAGTATTTGATTCAGTGACTTGATGTCAACAAGGACCCAGTTTTGCTCCATCTCTCTGCTCTGCCTTCTACAAAGGTAGCATTATCCCAAAGCTAGTTTTGTTCAAGCTGTAGTAATTTCAAGGTTTACAGTCTCACCCCTCATCATACAAATAGAAAGAGAACAGTTTATAGTAGCTCTACCTAGAGAACAAGGAAAGTTTTTCTTAAAGTTGGGAACTCTTTTATTGACATGAATTGGTCAAAATAATGTCTGGGTTCTCTAAATTACCCACTGTGTCAAGAGGTACAGGATTACAGGATTACGTGAATGGTTTCAAACAATCTTTCTTAGAATTGGTACGGTGTCTTAATTTTTGCTCTCTAAACACTCACATGGATGCCATAGAAGGGGGAAGGATGGAAAAGATGTTGTGGAGGCAAACTGTATTATCTAGCTAGGGTTGCTATAACAGTACCACAGATTAGAAGGCTTAACCAAAAAATGTATTTTCTCACAGTTCTGGAGCCTAGAAGGCCAAGATCAAGGTGTCAGCAGGGTTGTTTTTCCTGAGATCTCTACTTGGTTTGTAGATGGCCAATTTCTCTGTCTTTACAAGGCTTTCTCTCTGTGAACCTACATACGTGCTTCCTTATTCTCTTTTTCTAAAAGGACACCAGTCATATTTGATTAGAGCCTAAATAACTCACTTTAACTTAATCATCTCTCTAAAGATTTTTATCTACAAATATTGCCACAATCTTTTTTTTTTTTTTAATTTAAGAGACATTTTTGCTATAGGGTGCATGTGCTTTCTGAAGAGGGGCACTCAATACAAAATAACTGCTTGTTAAAAACTATAGAGTTAACTGTAGGGTCAGTTCCATAGCACAGTGGTTAAGTGCTGCACATTTGGAGCCAGATTCCATATGGCTGACTGAGGTTCAAATCCTGGTGGCTTGAAAAACATGCTGGGAACATGCATACATGTGCCCCAAATCCTGATGGGATAGAGAAATAGAGGAAAATGTGTTGTGGCACAACCACACCCCATTCAGGGGTGCTTTCTCTCTCTCTTTCTAGAGATCCACACACCCTTTGGCAATTAAAAATAAAAAGTTCATTGCATCTGGTAAGCATGACCTTTTTCCAGGAGCAATTTTCATAGAGTGGTGGCAACATAAGCTAAATTGCAAAGAGTTTAATAGTGAATAAATAGACTTAATATACAAATTAAAACTGTCTTATGACAAAGGCCACCATGAGCAAAATCAAAACATGATCATGAAAAAAAAAATAGTACCTACATATGTGGAACACCGAGAGTTAAGAGTTCCAATATAAAAAGCATGCACACACACCCAGTTTATCTCTCAAGGTTCCAGGTCCAGGACTCTAACTGTGCAGTCAGCCACATGGGATCCAGCCATTTTAAATAGCATGCCACCAGTTGGCCTGTGTTTTGTGATTTAATTATACAAAGATGAGTCATTTCTGCAACCTAAAAATATTTACTTATTAAAACTGTGTCAATACTTTAATCAACTACACAAAAAAGATAATGAGACAAACATGCATTTATAGAACTGCATATTGGTCAGGCCAGATCCCTGAAGAGGGAATTCCCAGCATGAACTCCTTCATTTTTAAGGACATAGAACAATCCTTGTTCAGACAGGCACATTCATCTAATTTGTCTGGTGTGATCAGACCTCTACTTCTTGATGGTTTCTTCCTGCTTATGAATGTGCACATCCAGTTGTTTGCTTCTTAGAGCAGACATTTACCTTTCTCATCCACCGGTGATTGGAGGAGGACTGGAGCCAAGCAGATGATTAATTAGATTCATTCTTCTGGGAGGGCTTCTGGGTGGCCCTCTTCTGTCACCATATCTGGAATCAGATGAGTTTCCGTAGTCTCGTCTCTTTTGCTGAAGCAGAGTTTTGAAAAACAGAACTACAAACTTGGCTATTCCTCAGAATTAATTTTTTTTTTTGAGAGATTTTCACTGTAGGGCGCGTGCGCTCGCCAGACAGACAGAGAGAGACATAGAGACAGAAAGCGAGAAATCACCCCCCAGGGGGGATGGTCACGCCGCTATCCCTTCTCCTCCATTCTCCTCTCGGGATCTTGGGCACGCACGCACACGCGCCCGGCGTGAGTTTTAAGCCACCGGGTCCGGGACACGAACCGCGGTCGACTACGTGGGAGTCCAGCGACATAGCCATTACGCTAACTGCTGGTTCCCCCTCAGAATTAATTTTTTATCAAAGATAATCTCCATGGGGACTGACTCTGGTTGTCTGATACTTGTCCATTTGAGACATAAATCATCACACTTCCTGTTCCCTACTTTGGAGCTACTGAAGAACTCAGGCCTTCTTCCAGAGTAGTTGTTATAAAGTTTAGATTTCTGGTGTTGAAATGAATTTCTTTTAGAAAATCATGGTGACAAGAGATGGGAGGACTTTGCAAATTCATACTGTTATTTGTTGGGCAAGCAAGTGGCAAGAAGTTTAAGGTAGCTGGATCCCATGTGGCTTACTGAGCAGTTCAAGTCCTGAGCCCGGTGGCTTGAAAATGACACTGGGCACATGTGCCTACTTGTCCAAAATCCTGAGGAAAATGAAGAAGGAATTACAGTACAGTCATTCCCCCCTCTTCCCCCAAGGGGGTACTTCTCTCTCTCTGATGAGTGCACATGACCTATAGCAAACTCCATCCCCCCACACACACATACACATACAAAGTCCTATATCAGTTCCCAAGTTGTTAGAAATGCAATGGTCTATAGATTCCAAAGGTAGAGATGGTGGGGGAAGAAAACAGGCCTACAATCTACAGTACAAGTAGAAAGCTAAGTAAACCTTAAACGAGAAAAGAGAAAGCTATTCCCAAGAGGGAGGAAAACTAGTGTGCATGGATATAGTTTTTTTTTAAAGACGTTGATAAGGTTATCTTCCATAAAGGCTGTGGCAAAATCTTCTGCTGGGTTCAGGGTTCAGGGGCTCAGCAGGAGTGATTGTGAGGCTGAGACTTGAGGGGAATGGCAAAAATATGGAAGAGGTGCTGAGGACAATGGGAGACTAACCTGAGAGTGTATTGGAATCTTCAGTTTGGAATAATACCTGGCTGTATTTCATTCAGAGTGCTAGCTCTTGTCCTGGGTTTTTTTGTATTCACTCCCTCTCTTGATACTATCCCCCTCCCCAGACTTACTTTTTCCTTTTATGGTTTTTATATTGCTTCTTAGTTTGTTTTTGTACTTATCAAAACTCACTCAACTGTCTCTGACACACTGTTTATTCATCTATATACAGGTCAAAGCATTTCCCGGATATTCAACTGATTGTAGAAATAAATTTAATTCCACATACAAAACAATAGGGTAACATTACCCTCATTAAAATACTTCACAGCTGTGAAGACAGAAACTGTCCCGGCCCGGGGGACAGTTGAACAGGTTTCCTGAGGGAAGGAGTGAGAGCCTGGATGAGCAGTGCAATGTTACAACACGGAGACGACACAGAGTCAGGGTCGTCCATTTATTGTGGGCAGCACGGAGACGACACAGTGCCACAGCCCCTCAGGGTTATCCGGAGACGACACGGTGTCACAACTCTTCAGGGTTGTTCGAAGACGCGGTGTCATAGCTCTTCGGGGTTGTCCGAAACCAGAGACGCCACAGTGTCACAACTCTTCAGGGTCTTCTGGGTCGTCTGTAGATGACAGTGTTACAACTCTTCAGGGTCTTCAGGGTCGTCTGGAGATGATGGTGTTACAACTCTTCAGAGTATTCAGGGTCGTCTGGAGACTGTGGGCCAGGGGTTGTGGTTATATACATGCTGATGGGCAGTGATTGGTTGAATGAAGGATTGTAAAAGGTGGGTTATGCTTGGTTGCTTCTGTAGACCAATCATGAGGTGCCAGATTATGCAAATCTGAGGGATTCTAAACTCACTGATTTGCTATGGGAAGTGACCAATCCGAGTATGGTTCTGAAGGTGAGGTTTTTGAAAGGGGAGCCAATTGTGCCCTTTATGGGAAGTAGCCAATCAGAGTGTGGTTCTGAAGGTGAGGTTTTTGAAGGGGAGCCAATCATGGCCTTTGGCATTGTGTAATTGTTTGCTTTCTGACAAAAAGCACTGGCTTTTCTTTTTTAAATTCCTGTAAACTAATGTTTCTTCACAGCATCTATTTTTTCATTCCTCACATGAATATTGTGTATTTGGTCATGTTTTACTGATAAAAGTCTTAAACTGTACACACACTTTGAATTCATACATTTTTACTGCTACAAAAGTGTCAGAGAGATCAATAAAATAAAAACTTTCTCTGTTACAGAGAACCAAATATATTGGGTGATTTGTTTAAAATTGCAAAAGTCTTAAGTGACAGTCCACATTAGTACTAGGATTATGTTTTTCACTGAATTCAGTGTCTTTTTTTTTTTTTTGAGAGAGAGATTTTCACTGTAGGGTGCGTGCACTCGCCAGACAGACAGAGAGAGACATAGAGACAGAAAGCGAGAAATCACCCCCCCAGGGGGGATGGTCACGCCGCAATCCCTTCTCCTCCATTCTCCTCTCGGGATCTTGGGCACGCACGCACACGCGCCCGGTGTGAGTTTTAAGCCACCGGGTCCGGGACACGAACCATGGTCGACTACGTGGGAATCCAGCTACATAGCCATTACGCTAAGTGCTGGTTCCCTGAATTCAGTGTCTTTACACCACAATTTCCCTCAATTTAATTTAATTTTATATTTTATTAAAGTTAAATAATAGCAATTATTTCTAATAGATCTCTTTCAAGAACAATACATCAATTCCCTTAATTTTTAAAGATTTCACCACAGGTTTCATCACAGTGTGAAAGGATTGATTTTTGATACCTGATAAAGTGTAGTATATCAATTAAGCATTCAATAGAAGGCTGTTTTATGATGTATATCATCTGTGTTTTTGATGATTACAATCCAATCTAAAATGCTGATAAAGATGGTTGGTGTATCACTTTATTCCTCCATTTTTACACTAAATCTTTTGTTTATTTATAACTCTGTACCTTTGTATTATATTGTAAATAAAAAAAATACTGAACCAATGGAGAGGAGAATAAATCCTTACCATGCAAACATAATGAGGCTGCTGCTGAATGTATAGAAATATACATCATCTTTTCCTGGGGACATAAGAGATAGTCTGTTACAAACCACCACCCTTTCTATTATTTGCACATGAAAATTGAAACCACTAGCAAATCAGCATTAAGAGCATTTTTCCTTAAGATATGTTCACATAACACCTAGGAGGTCAATGGTAAGTAAGTGAAAAATCAGGGCTGGCAGGTTACATAGTGGTTAGGTGCTGGATTCCCACATGGTTGATCAAGGTGAGGTTCCAGTTGAGTCCCAGACCTAGTGGCTTGCTTTCCTCACTTTCTCTCTCTCTTTCTCTGTCCCTCTCTCTCATCAAACTAAAAAATGATACTAAATACAATTAAAAAAAATTTTTTTATATGGAACGCTTCACGAATTTGCTTGTCAGTTTAGCGCAGGGGCCATGCTAATCTTCTCTGTATCGTTCCAGTTTTAGTATATGTCCTGCCCAAGCGAGCACAACATAATTTTTTTTAAAAACGTGAAAAAGCAATCATCTACCAGGGAATACGTACATCAAAAGATTCAGCATTGTTTAGTTTTGGTGAAACTATACCATTATTAACTTAAAAATTATAGTTTTCAAAGGCCTGAATGTGGCACAGCAGTAAGGCAATGTGAGAAGGCCAGGGGTTCCAAGACTTCCTTCTGCATGCTAGGTATGGAGTGCCTATGATTTGGACTCACAAGCTAAGGCAACTAGTATGGATCTCTACACTAGAGATTCTTTTGGTGATGCTTACCTTTCTCTCGCTCTTACTAGATATAAATAAATAAATTTTAAACATTAATAGTTATCAACTCGACAAATTTGAACTTCAATTAAGTTTTGATAAAGAACATCTTCCCCAACACAAGTTTTTTAAAATATAAAACATAAACAGAAGAATGTACCAGATGTCTCCATTAGGTAAGATCCTCTAGAGTGAATCCTAGATATTATATAATAAAGGTACACCCTCATTCTATTGGATGGCTTGTAATAATAGTGCTGGCTGATCTGAATATATCACACAATTTTTTTCAATGCTGATGTTCATCGATTGTTTTAATGATCATTCTTTATAATGCACCATTTGCTCACAGTGACAGAGAAAGGCTCTTCTATGATAGAATTTTGTTCTATCAGAAGAAAACATTTTAACTCCTCTATATTATTGTTTCCTCAGCCCAATACAGAAAGCCATCTAAATTTCCAAACTCTCCTATCAAAAACAATACATTGTAAAACTCCACACTTTTGATAGAGATGAGGCTGCCTTTCAAGTATTTCTTCATTTACTAAACCATTCCTAAATTTTCCAGGCGCTGTTGTTTAGTAAATGTAACCACCTAGACTGTTACAATCCTCACTTTGAGCAGATTCAACACAGGATGAGAGGGCCAGAGAAGTGACAGAATCAGTGCTGGGAGCAAGAGACCCTCCAACACGCCTCCTTTAGGAGAATGCAGGAAGAGGTAAAGAGATTGGCAGTCGGAGTCTCAGGAAATGAGGAAGTAGCTCATCCCGGACACTGGTAGCAAGGCTGTGAGAGCGCGAACCCACTAAGCGCAGAAAGGAAGGGAGGAGACAGAGGTCAAGAAGAGGTGCGATCAGCAAGGCTGCTTGCCACTGAGATCTGGGTAAGCCAAGTCCGCAGGGCGGCCGGTAAGCAGCGCCTGCCCCCCACCCCCCACTCCCTCCAAGAGCCACTAGTAGGACAATGGCACGAACGGGGGAACTGGAGGAACAACGGAATGGACACCAAAGGCAGGAAAGCAGGAAGGCTGTCAGGCTCCCGCTGAATTGTCCAGAGGAAAAAGTACGCGGTTAAAGCGTCAGAGAATTGGAAGAACAGTCTGTAGACAACACTTCTGAGGTCAAACAAAAGATCTGACTACCCGCTGGGGAAGCAGTAGACAAAGGCAAACACGGTTCATATCACAAACTCTGGCAAATTACTGAATGGATAATCACGTATCACTAACCACAAAGTGGAGGTCTTTAAAGTTAACCACAATCGAGTTTAATTTTTTTGATGTGGGATTAAGATAAGGAATATTTCCTAGCTCCATGAGTCATTTAAAAAATGCCCACCAAGGAAGAAAGAGGTGGGTTTACAAGTTGCTGACACTTCGACATCCCCCAGAATGTACTTCAGGTGGGCAACGCAGCCGGGTGAAAATCAAATCCACTGTCAAACAGACGAACATTCTTCAGTATCAAATTACCATAAAGATAGAGGAGGACATGCCGCGCAACTCCTTCAATTCCAGTTCCTCAAGAACCTCTTTTATTGTCCTCGGCGACGTAGCCCTTCGTGCCGCCAAAGCAGCGTCCTCTCACACGCCCACGCGCGGCGCAAGCGCAGAACCCGCAGCGTGGGAGGAGGGCGGGGCGGGGCGGGGCG